TATGAGGCCACGAAGCGTTTGAAGAATGCCGAAATGTGTGTGCGTGACGCATGCGGGCTGCGCCACTGGGACCTTCGGTGGAGCTCCCTATGGGGCTACGAAACGCTGTACTGGGCGGGTGAAACGCAGGGAGGAGGGAGGAGGGGGAGGAGGGAGGAGGGAGACGCGGGGACCGTTTCTTCAAAACGAGGACCCAGCACCACAGGATGGTTGGGAACAAATAACAAGTAGCAAAAACAACAAAGAATATCACACGCACACAAAAAAGAGAACGAAAAATCGTCATCATACTATCATTTCACTCTTCTTGACTGCCCCTCCCGTAGAGGGACATGCCTCACTGAATCGTAGCCACCAGAGAGAGGCCCCCGAGAGCGCTTCGAAGAAACCCTAGAGAGCATCCATGAGGACTCTGACCCACATCAGCGTCGTCGCCGTCGCTGCCGCCGCCGCTGTCGTCGCTCCCCGGTCCGGGTCGGCGGAACCGGCCGCAAGTCCTTCGCAATCTGCTGGATCGCCCGGGTCGCCTGCTTTGCGGCGTTAGGGATTCTGTTCTGTTCCACTCCGAGAATGCATCTGCTGGCAGGCGCTCCGACCGAACCGCGAAGAAATCCGTGTTGGTGTGTTTCTTGCCGCACTTCATGACCACTGCCCAACTCTTCGAACGCTCCATGAGAGAAAGCATGAGACTACCATCACAGAAGATCATGTCTGGGCTCGCGCGCATCACCCAGTCATGCCCCCGAAATCAGCTAGAGGTCAACGCATCGTGCATCGCCTTCTTCGCACCAGGCTGCCTGCCCGGAATGCGGAAGAACTTCACAGTCTTGGTAGGCATGGGCCACGCGTTCAACAGCTCTTGCCATGCTGCGCGGCTGGAGTGCGCGCAGACGTCCGTGTCACATTGCCGAGTGCGCCGGTGCGCCTCGCTGTGGACGCCTCGGCCTCCCCGACGTGCAGGAGTACGCCTGCCTCCCTCGGCCTCGGCGCGCCCCTGCAGAGGTCCGCCTGGCACCTCATGTACGGCATGTGCTCGTCGGACGCGTACGCCGTGACAAAGAGGAGCACACGCGGCTTACTGGCATTGCTGCCAGGGCGCGTCAGCTCCCTGTGG